GAAGGGAACAGGAAAAGCAAGAAAGTGCAGGGGTTGAGATTAAAAAAAAAAATTAATAAGTGAAGGGTAAGTGGAAGAAAAGAGCAAGAAAACAAATCAAAACAAGTGATGAAAAGGCAATCACTCACCACATGCCACAGGTAGACCAATGCCAGCCAGCTCCTGAGTAAAAGATGACTAGTCTCCCTCAAATCCCCTCTTCCCCTTCGTATTGCTGAGCATGATGGTATAGGGCATAGAATATCTCTTTGGTTAGTTCAGGTCATCTGCCTGGTTGTGTGCCTTCCCAACCTGTTCCACACCCCTCATTCTACTCACGGCAGGGGCAGAGTGAGAAGCAGAGAAGGCCTTGATGCTGTGCAAACACCGTTCAGCAATAGCTAGAACATCAGTGTGTGATCAGTGTTGTTTTGGTCACACATCTAAAACACGGCACCATATGAACTGCGACGAAGAAAATTAACTCTGTCCCAGTCAGGCCCTGTACGCTGCTTGATCTTGTTCCCCTGCTGCTACATCCAAATATGTTATAAATGATAATTTCATTTAAAGAGCAACCCAGTTGAACATATTGGCTTCGTATGCTGCAGGAGTGCCCATTCAGCCCACATGACACCAAGTTCCTTTTCAGAGACACAGCCTCAGAAGGAAGGAAAAGGTGGCCATTTTCTAAGAGCTGCCTGGGCTCTTGGTTATTAAAGAATTATCTCTACATCTGATCACATCAAAGTAAAGAGGTTTTTCCAGACCCAGCAATTCAGATTACTCTGTCTCAGTGACCTCTTCATTGCTAATTACTTAACAGACTTCCATGTCTTTGAAAACTTTATCAATATTGATAAAATAATATTGATAGAATGAAAAGTACAGAAGGGCTGTGGAAGATTGTGCTAGAAAATCTCTTTGATGACAATCAACTTACAGTTAAATTTTAAACAGCTTTTAAATCCACTTGCAGTATAGTATGCTCTCTTGCATCAGTCTAGGTTTTTACTCAGAATCTTGAGCAGCGTCAAGTAGAATGTCTTACAGAAGCTGGAACATATCCTCTTAACACTATTACTGTTACCCACCAAAGTTGTAGTTTCATTTTATTTTCTCTTAAACTATGCTGACTGGCATTAGTTTTTTTATCATCTTTTAATCCTTATTCTTTAAATCATTATTAATCAAATTCCCTTTTAGGCATTCCACAAATTTGAAAGGATTGGCATCAAAACGTCAAAAGTGAAATTAGTAATTGTCCCTCTCTACCCATTAATGTATTGTCATAACTTTTTTAAGTCCTCAAGAGCTTTTTCAGTTATACAAAACTTAGTCAGATCTACATTAATGGTCACAATAGCTTCTCATCCAGATCTTCAAAATAATCCCAAATACCAGGGACTTGAATTTGGTATATGGAATGTCTGACTTAAAACTTCTGTCTTTAGGAAACGCTTTTAAAATCTATTAACATGAAAAGTGTTTTATAAAAGGTCATATGGTATAGAAATGTATATTTGATTACAATAATGTTTCCTTTCATTATAGATGCAAATAGGTTTTTTTATTCATATGACGTACCTATGAATTCATCAACAAAGAGCAAAAGTATCATCTCTGTTGCAGGTTGTATATCCATCACTGGATATCAGGGTTTTGAGCACAGAACGTCAGCTGCCAATAAGGGCACTTAAGCTCTCTCAGAATTGCCTCTGAACTTTCCTGTTTGCTGCTCCATTTTGCAGGCACATCCTTTGTCAGCTGGATCCTTTGCCAGCAAGCCATTACAGACTACTTAAAAATCTCAAACACCAAGGCTGATCAAAGTCACAAGGGTTCCGGCCATACAGTCTGCATCACCAGATTCATTTCATTGGGGTTCTTATAGAAAATAGAGTTCAAGTCAATATAATGGTAAAAATTATCTCTGTTGGAGAGCAGCGGAACTGAAAAAAAGTGCCCAAGTGAATACCTGAATACAGAGTTAACCAGTTACATTAGGCAAAGTTCTTTCTCAAACCAGTAATGTTATAAAAATGATATGGCCTTAAAAAATTGTATTATACCTGGAAGACGTTCCCAAAGCTGTGACTAATGCCTGGATTAGGCCTCCAAATAAATACCCAAGGGTTTTTACGAGTGATCAGGAAGTAGAGAAGAGGTAGGACAATGACAGCATGAATTAGCAAACCGATGATAACCGTTACAGTATACATGGCAAGCTGACCACCAATCACACCCATATCTTCCATCTCAACAATTTTTCCGGCAATCAAGAAGAGGATTCCAAGCGGAGCATACCTGCAAACAAGAAATCACATCAGTATTGTAATGAACAAAGTAGAAATTCACTTCCCCATCCATACCTGTTGTGTCTATATGCATGCATGAATGTGGGATTTCACTGTTAGGATGAATACGATTATTCAGAAGCAGTTCAAGAGTTTAACCCTTTAACTCTTAACAGGTCAACCTGCGTTAAACCACCACAGTGAATGTTTCTGATAGGCTCCGTTGGATTCAGGATCTGGTAAGGATTTCAAGATGTATACTATGCCTTTCAGACACAAAGGGAGACAAGCTCCCTTTGGAATTCAAGTGTCATTTACAAGCTAGTTTAGCCAATTCTGTTATGATTATGTCTGTATGAAGAAAGGCTCAGCCGACATAGTTGCAGACTATGCCACATGTCCAGTTCTATTATCGCACCAGTGCTGTTTCTTATGTTGTTAGGGAAGGAACTCACACAGAAGGCTGGTAACTCCTGATGGTTACAAGCCCTTTTGTCCAGTGGGACAGTGGATAAATACTTTAGCATGAAGCCATCTATATGACAGAGGTTAGTTGCATTGTGGGGCAGCAACAAAGGTGGTGTGATCTGCTTTTTTCTATTGGTAAGCGCAACTACAGATGAAGAAAGACGTAGTGCTGAGCATAAAACTCTAACATAATTCTGCTGCAGCTGAACTTTTGGTACAGCCTTATTTCTATAAATGTCCACTTGTCTTTTCACACTAAATTACCACAGAACAAAATTTATCCAGCATATTTCAACTGCACTTTAAGCCATCAAATCCATGTAGAATGTTCTCAGAAGTAACAATTCTCATCCACTCTTTATCATCTTAAGTATGCTTGTAAAGAAGGAGAAAAGATTTTTGCTTTGTATAGATGTTTTCCTGGCAGAATAGAATTTTAGTTACTGAAAAAATATACTTATTTTTAGTTTTGTGTCTAGTACTGCAACTTATGTTGTGTGTGCTCTTGGGTAGGCTTTTGGAGTTGATTTGTTTGTTTGTTTGCTTTCCGTAGGAAAGTAGGCAACAAGACATCAATTCTTTTCTTAACTAATGTCCTCCGTGAGACATAATGAATCTTAATTGTTGAAAAGACTTTATACCTAATGTTTGAAGGAAAATGTATTGGTGTTATTTACCTACTGATCACAAAAAAGTAAGTAGGAAAGTTATGTGTATGTGTAAACAGTGCAGCTACAATGCAAGGACATATGTATACACTACACAATTCAGGAACCAGTTGTGTTGGAAACTAATGATAACAAGGTCTTGCTGTATAGAAATAAGATTATGGGAGTCATTTGTCGGTTTCCTTTAGTGAAGTCAGATTAGGATATAAGGAAACTTTGATAGCATACTGTTGTGATTGCTATCCTTATGAAAACATAGAATGGCTCTGTATAAGCTTAGCAAGTTCTGCCACAGACCGTGATTTTTCTCATGTCAAAAGCTAAACACACTGGAAGAGTAGATATGTTTGGGCAAATTGTTGACATACAGAATTAAAGTTCTTTGGTACATTTATGAAAAAAACTACAAGGTAGTTATGATCTTATTGTCTGACTTCCTGCCAAACAGACTCTTGCTATCCAGTGCCTTACTGTGATGAAAAAACAGTAACTTAAAATGGAATTTACCAAAGAGGCACTTACCACATGATTAGAGCTACCAATCTCATGATAGCTTCGTTAAGGCTATCAAAGAAGTCTTTTAATGCCTGACCTTGCTCCTTCATGCTTCCAATCACCAGGCCAAAGCTTATTGAGAAAACCACCAATCCAAGTGCATTCACTCCATTTACAGAACCTGGAACAGGAACTATTTCCTCTTTCATTCGGGTGAGGGTTTCCATTGCTTCTGACACATTGCTTATTATGGAAGCCACTGTGGATGTGTCATTGGATGGAATATTTACTTTAAACATTCTCTTTTCATAGTTAGTTTTGAACTGTTAAAACAAAAATAAAAGACAGATAGGAACTTTGTGAATTGTAGCAAAGGTAAAATCACACATTAAATTATTATTTACTAGTGTAGGACATTTGAATTCTTTGTGTAATATTTGTTGGTAAAATGTACTGTGATGAAAACATGGCTTTGCTGAAAGCAACAAAAATCCACATTAGCTTCAAAAGCTAAATCTTCACCTCTAGCTTCCAAAACTTACTTTCTCAGAAATATGTCAAAATCAAAGGTGCAGGTTTTTCATGCTAATGTGTTTTGTGACAAGACTATTGAGTCTTAGTTTGCATTTTTATAAGTTGCTATTTTTCCCAACAACATATTTCAAACTGTTAAATAAATATGTCTCTTTTGGCTAATGAAAATATTTTCATATGGTCTGGAGTTTCCTTACTTTTTCATCTTTTTGAATTAGAAAAAATTAGATTGAAAGTAACTTAAATATAACGTACTTCTCTTTTCCTTCACTATGGCAAAGCCATTAATTTTCTCTGCTTTGCAGTAACAAATCACCACTTTTCTTAATTAAGAAAAGGGTTCTACCTTAAATGGTTCCATTATGGAATGGGCAAATTAATTTCAAAATCTCAATATGCTCCTAAACATCTGATTTGAAAAACAGTCTTTCACCACCTAATGCTTTTCCAAAGAGAAATGTGCATCCTGAATATTTCTGTCTGGGCTCAAAAAGCCCTGCAGCTCTGTACTGATTAAACTCTGTTGAACACAAAGAATACTAAATATGACTAGAAAATGTTTCAGGATGCTATATACCCTACTAAAGCAATGGGATGCTGGTATCAGACTTATTCAGCAACTTTGGGTTTTTATTCTTTTGGGCCTGCCAACAAAAGACAAATACTAAGTCCAGGAGCTGCAGTATTATTAGTAATATCTGGAGTCTGTTGTGCACTCTTAAGTATTTGAGTGAAATGGAGTACTTGTGACTAAGGTGGGAAACCCAAATATCACCATCTATCAACACTGACCTAATTTTCTGATATTTTCTGTAGCTGAGTAGTTTTAATGCACTCCTTCCACATATTTGCTGTATCCCCCTGAAGGCTTTAAGTCTTTCAGAATTTCAAATAAAACTTGCTTACAGGAGATTTATGGAAACTTTCTGAATAAGATGCAGCAGAATGAATCTCCGTGGAGGTCAGATATTCTTGAGTTTTAAATGAAATTTGCTAAAACATTTTAAGATTGGGGCTGTGGTTGGAGGAGACAGATGAGCTTTTTGAACACTTGGCTGACACGGAAAAACCCAGTTCCACTCCCTTACCCACTCACATCCAACTTGTGATACTTTCTCCTCTGGGTCAGTTCTATTTTGATCTCTCAGTGAGCCAATTCTTCTTTTTAAATTGGCAGAAAACTTACCAAGCAAAAAAAAAGTGGCCATTTTGGGATAAAGGCTATGGAGGTGAACCTGACTGATTTGGACATGAATCACTGCCTGCTGAATGCCAGAGAGGGCAAAAACTGAGACTGGAACTGTGCAGCCAGGGGAGGAGGGTATGGGCTTGCTTCTTTACCTGACAGAGAGGTATTACAGTGGAAATGGAAATTTTCTAGAAGTTCCTACTAACGGGTTTTTAATTCAGTCCTGACAAGAATGTTAAAATAGTGCCCAACACTGTACATTCAGACACTCTAATTCTTTTTTTTTTTCATTTTTTAATGTGTACAGGTATGATAATTATGTTATATGTGTATGTTTTATTACTGGTTTTCAGTAGAAAAAAAAAAAACGTAGGCAAATATTCCTTAATACAAATAGCTGAAGGGTGTAATTTTGCTGAACTTCTGGGCATACAGATTAGATGAACAAAAAAGCAAGCTGCTTAATGAGGACTGGAATTAAAGTCTAGTTTCCTACCAAATTTCCTATTAGTTTCCTACTTTCCCTAGACACATCATAACTGCCTTGATCCTGATTCTCCTCCATTACCCTCAGGTCCTTCTTTCATTCCTACCTGTTTGACTAGGTCAAAAGCAGCATGTGATACGGCTGTTAGACAGTGTTAGATGTGTGCTGCCTGGGTGGCTGCTACTGCCTCTTGGAACAGGCCACGAGCTAAGTCATAAACCACTTTTCTTTCAGTGGCAGCAAAGTCTTCATTTGTCTGACAATCGCCCCCCCTCATGTCAAATTAGGTTGGAATTGGCCATCGGGCTCAAAAATTAAGATGGGACTGAGAAGTTGGGCAGCTACAGGGGAGAAAGCACAATCACATGAAGTTTTTTAACTTAAAAAACCCCAATTAGAACTCATTTTAGGTTGTAATAAGTTGTAATAATACTACTTCTTTTTTGTGCTGATTCTGGAATTTTGTTCCAGGAGGAAGATGCCTTTAATTGTTTATTAGTTAAGTCTCTTCAGGGGTATAATATGAATTTTAGGACCTCACTTAGCAAAGTCCATTTCCATTTCAGCTACTAGGCTGGTTTATAGATATATAGTTCTTATCAGTTGACTTACCCTGTTGGTTGGGCTTAAGTATGCAGAAATGTTACTAGGGAGAACAGTCTTTCTAGAACCCTTCCAGAGCAGAGGAGAAATGGTCTGTTTAGAGTGAGATCCAAAATGGGAATCTGAGCAACAGGAATCAGAGCAACTTTATTTGCTCTGGGACAGTCACTTCATCTAGCCTTTCTCTCATTATTGCTAAATGAGGGTAGGGATAACTCTGTGGATGTCTGTCTTCTTATGCCCAAAGTTGTCTATCAAATTCATGAGAAGGTTCCTGGTGAAGCAAAAGAAATTAAAAAAAAAAACCAACCACGGAAATGCAAAGGAGATATGTAAGAAGGCAAAAGTGTAGGTTGAGTTTTATCCTCGTTAGTGCTTTTTCAGATGACACTGAAGGCAAATACAAGTTTGCTTGGCCACCACAAAACAAATTTTCTGGATGTAGAATGGCGAAAAAGCCAATGGCTCATAGGAAGTGATGGGATGAAAGACCACCTTCAGGATGGTAGAAAATGTCAAGTTTTGAAATAGGTGAGTTAATAGCTGAGTTGACTATTACTGCACTGCAGAGAAAGCGGTAGTAAGAGATCATTTTGTGAGCTTTTATGAGATTCCTACTCTCAGGCAGATCTCTGTGGTGGGAATCAGTTATCAGCTGTTCGTGTAGCTCAAACTGACATTTTAATATCACTCTCTGATTCTGCAGATCCTCTTTCTTTTGCAATAGTCAGTTATGGAAGAATTTAGACAGAGAAAAACTGCACATGTAACAGATTGTAGGCTTAAGGGTCTCAGAAGAGCCAGTCGTGTTTTACTAGAAGTCCACACACCTACACTTATAATATGTGATGGGCTAGACAACATCACTGAAGTCCTGTCATTTCTGAGGGTGTTTGGTGTATTTTGTCTCCAGGCAGAGGTATTTTTGCCTGGTAAGATTCTAGATGCAAAATACTCATAATTTTTCCTTAACTCATGTGTAGAGAACACAATTACGAGCAAGGTAAATATTATTTGGAACATACTAATACTAATAACTTTCTATGAACAACCTTATCTGCAGGTAAAATATGAAAATAATGGCATTTCTGGACTCTTTTACAAGACACAGTGCTAATGAACAGCTTTAATTTTAATTAAGGTATCTCATTATGAAATAGACAATATAATTACTTTGTTGCGTAATATAATGAATTAATTGTTTACAATTTTCTTATTATTTTGTTTTATTTAGTAGTACAAGATAACCACAGTCATTTGACTTGACTATATTGCATGACTTTTTAAGAAGCAACTTTATAACACGGCAGTAGCACATTCCAGTGGTTAGCTTGCAGACAAGGTAATTGCATGGGTAACTGCTCTGAAAACTCATAATTTACTGCCAGTATTCTGAGTTGGTATAATTAAGACTGTCTGCGCTAAGTCTGTATGATGATGTAGTTTTTAATGAATGATGATTTTAAAAGCAACAAGTTTGCTTAAATGCAAGCCTAAAAATGAAAAGAAATGAAAATAAGGCAGTGATGTCCCACCTTCCTAGTTATTTTTTTTCTCTTCTTTCCTTATGGACATGTGTGAAAGAATTCTAAATTGCCTGCAGAAGAGCTGATGACACAGGTTAAAATATATCTAAACTAGCCAAAATTAACATGAGGAATAGACAGCATATATTAGTTAGTATTCATGTATGGATGTGTGATTAACACTTCCAATCCTCTTGATAAGGATGAGTTCAGGAAAGAACATTTAACTAAAAATATCTCAGAAGAAATGTAGTTATCAGAGGCACCTTTCCAGTTCTTTAAGCTTCAGCTGGCATCAAATCGCACCTAGTCACAACAGAATGACCCTCCCCAAATTGTTAGACTGGTTCTGTTTCTTTCGACATCACAGGTTCGCTTGTGTTTCTTTTGTCTTTTGGTATATCCCCAGAGCACAAGATGTTAAAAAGCAGTATCCGCTTAACAAGCAGACTGCTGACAACTCTTTAGCCCCAGGCTAGGTAGCACTTTTGAATTTAACAGAGAAGACATAATGGCCAGAGCTGAAAGATAAAACCAAAGATTTCTTTAAATATCCCTAAACTGGGGCGAATATAGTGGTATAGAGAAAATTTTGAACAAAGTAATGTAGTTTTAGGTAAGTGTGGAATGTTTATCTGATGTCAGTCTTTTCAGATTCTCCCGTTACTGATAAAAAACACAAAAGCCTGCAAAAGATCAGTGAAGGCAGCAACATATGTCATATGGAAATAACCAGCATCAGAAGGTATGCTGTTTGGATTAACAGTTTGGTGTTTCCAGTGATCCCTATCTGCGACTGATTTAATTGGAGGAGGTTCTGATAGAGACAGGATGCCAACAGGACTTTGGTCTTTCACCATGACAGAGGGAGTAACTGGTGAAGAATAGAGTGAGACTGAAGTTCAATGCTTTCTAGATTATTCTTCTCAACTTGACCTGCTAGCCAAGGGTGGCTTTTTGTCCCAGTAGGCTTTCCTGGGGCATGGGGCTGAATGCCACCAGGTAAACCTGAAATGATTCTGCCAATTCTCAGCTGAAAGGTTTGAATGGAAGGATTTCCTTAGCTTTTCTGTGGGCTCCCTTTCTCTCCTATAGGGCCTCCTCCTGGCTTCTGAGATCCACAATGCAGGGTCCTTTTTGGAGGTGAAGGGGCATTTTCTTCCACCACTCTTCCTGTTTCTGGAGAGGATAATGTGCAAAGAAGGAGGAGAAGAAGCAAGAGGAGGCAGCTTTGTTTGCCTTACAGACTTTCTGGGAAAGAAGACCAGGAAAGGGCATCCAAAGAACCAGAAGACTGAACGAGAAGCAGCAGAAAATTTAGAAAGATTCTTCCTAATTAAGTCTTGAGGTCCCAGTCTTCATCCATGACTCTTCTCCCAGCAGCAATCCTATAAAGGCTTTCCCAGCTCCTTCCAGAAGTCCTCCCTACTTTGGTTAGCCTCTCCACACAGCTCCATTTCGTTTTGCAGGAGAGCAATTCCACATCCAGAAAACTAATTTTACTTCACTAGAAGTAATTATGCAAAGTAAAGTACCATTTTTCACATCTTGGTGTTACAAAATTTGAGTAACAGTTGGTATTTTTAGGTTAAAAACTTCAGAAATTATAGTTGGTCCTGTGTGTTAGTGGAGCTGTTTTGGGAAGTGCTTGCTATTGATGAGGAAAGTAACAGGTTCAAAACTTGGTGTGAGTACTAACATAGTCATTAGAGGACCTGTCTGCTGGCCGTGGTGAGAAAGAAAGAAAAACCTTCCAGAGGGTTCCAATGCAGATCTCTGTCAGGAAAGGAACCTGCCTAAGGATGCTATAAGACAGAATCTGAGCACATAATATATCAAAATATGTTATTTGAATGTGAAGTGTATATGCCAGTGATGATTTCCAGGTGTGCAATGCTGTGGATCAGTATTATGCCTTTGAGTGTGGACAACTATGAGTAGTAGTCTGTTTTGTGTTTGCAAACACAGTGTTACAGAACCAGATTAGTGCCAGATGGATCATCCTTCTTCACAAATATTCTGAGAAACATATGAAAAAACTGATTTAAACTTTTGAAAAGCAAGTTATGGAGTCAGATGGAAAAGCAAGTTATGGAGTCAGATGTACAAAGTCATCTGGATACCTATGAATCTTAGACCTAACTAGTTTCTCCTGTAAAATATGTTTAATTGAACAAATGTGCTACCATCAAGTAACTTATACCTAAAAATCTACAGTTCAGTACGTGATTCAAAAGGTAATAGTATCAGAATGACAGATTTAAAATCCATGTGCTTCAGTAAACATAGGTGCTGCTGAAAGTCATAAAAAACTTTCATGAAACATTTCCTGTTTTTTGAACCATTTTTCAGATGAGAAATACAATACACTTAATGTAAAGATATTGTACAGGACATCTTTAATTAAGAACACAGATTTAGATTAGTCACTGAATCAACTGTCCCGTTGCTGTTGGATACTTTATCAAAATAATTTTTGAAGCGGTATCTTAAAACTGATGAGGTAGTTTGTTCCCACAACTCCTAATTGAACATTTTTCCAGGACCTCACTTTTTGGGTAATGAAGTTTAAAAACCTTACTAATTCTCACTTAAATTCAGCTGTAGTGATTTCCATTTGCTCTTGTATAAACAATTTTCTTTATCTTACACAGCTCTGTTCCTGCTTTGCTTTTTCTACCTGAAGAGTTTTTAAGTCAAGCTTCTTTTTGCTTTATATGCTGTGTTCTTTTGATAATCCCAGCAACTCCTCTCTCCATTGTGCTCACTTTGCATGAATCTTCCTATGAATGTAATGTCCAGACAGTCACATTACTCTGACTTTATTTCCTCTCTTGGAGTTATGTCACCTAATATATCATTGAGCTGAATTCCAGGGTTTGGTGGTTTTTTTCTTCTTTCTGACAATGATTTCCCATCTCAAAGCAGAAATTACTGTTAGTCTCTAAATGTTTATTTCACGTGTGATGAAGAGGTACAAAGAGATAACCAAAAATGTCAATGTCTGCAAGAGCCAATTCACTTTGTCGTTGTGTATTACAGTGTGCTAGGGACATACCACCTTCTTTGGCATTGTTATATATATTAATACAAAGTGCTTTGACCTTCTTGTCATCTGTACATTTCATTGTGTGCAACTCATGTCGATGTCATTCATAAAAATATCAATTGAGATATGCTCAGTCCTTCAGCAACTTCCATTTTTATCTCCACAAATTTTACTATTTTTACAGTAATACTATCCTCTGCTCAGCTATTTCACTTTCCTCATATTAAAAACTCTGATTTACAGAAGTCCAGAGAGATTAGATCCATTGCACTTCTGTGGCACCAAAAAAAAAAAAAAAATTGTAAAAGAAAAAAAAAGAAGAAAAATAAGCAATCTTGTGGAAAAAAAGAAGGAAGGTTATTCTGGTACAATCTATATTTCAGAAACCTGTGTTATTCTTTTTTTTTTTTTTTTCATTTATTTTTCATTTTCATTTATTATGAAGGCTATTCTTTCCTTCACGTTACTTACATCCTTCAGTAGAACCAAGATCAAGCTAATAGGTTATTAAATTCCCAAATATTTTTGAAATTGCAATTTGGAAGGCACGATAACTGCTTTCACGAGTTATAGATAATAAGTTCCCCATTTCAGAAATTTATTAAAAATACTTGCTGCTAGATCTATAACTTTATGCCCTAATTCTTTCAGTATTTGCAAATAAAGATCGTATCATTCCCTGACTTTATTACATTAAATTCTTTGAATTTTGTTTCTAGTTTAGATATAGACTTTGTTTTTTCCATACTGCTCTTCTGCATCACTGTCCTGAGTTCATTGTCATTCTTACTGAGAACAGGCATAGCATTTGTTGGTTTTGGACCTGGGTGTAGTTTATCTTTAATCTCAACCAAATCTTTAATCTAGAAAGTCAGTGCTTTTTATTTGTCTCTGTTTATATAACTAAAGAAAATGTTACTGTTTCTTTTCAATTCTTTTGCAAGATTTAACTCAGCTGGACTTTGGAACGTTTCTACTTTATCGTCTTGCTTCTTGACCTCCACATTTCAGCTTTTTTTTTATTGCTACAGCAATAACTGGTAAATAATATCAGTTCAAGATTGTCTGTGGGGCCAATATGGAGCAATCAGATTATGGAAATGCACATTGTAGGTTTCACTGAATCTATACTGTTCTCCTTTGAAATAAGGAATGTGACTAATTACCATTATTTTCTCCGTAGAACAGTTAAGGTTAAGACCAGGATAATGATTGAGGAATTTGGGAAGCAACATAGAATGAGCATTCTTATGCACTCCTATCATAGGTGACAGGAAATCCCCTCGTTTGATTTTGTTATTGATGTCCACAAAATTGTTGCCTCTGTTTTGAACCTATGCACATTTCTCACATGACATTCTTGAACTTCTTCCAGTCTTTGTACAGATGGTGCATATCTCAGTATCTTATAATTTAACAGAAGACTGTTTTTGAAAAGTAAATTCTGTACTGACTTCAATGAAGCTTGCTGTGGACTTAAGCATTCGACATTTTGAAGAAATGGTTTGATTTGCTGTGCCAGGTGTGTTTTCTTCAATTCTCATAGCAAATACTGAGCAATTACTGAGAAAACAAAACACAGATTTGGTTGGTTTGGGTTGGGTTTTTTTGGCAGCTGGCAGATTTGTTTCTGTTTTAAGTGCAAGTACATGATATTCCTAAAGAGAATGCTACAACATTTCATTTTCTTACTTTGTTATGATTTAGTTGGAAATAATGAAACATTTTTACCTGTTTAAAGCAAGCTTCCACCAGATTTGGAGGGAACATATTTCTGTGAAAAAGAAAGAAAGTAACATGAGAAGCAATAAGACTAGTAATATCTTAAGCAGGGGCACAGCTAATAAAAGAATTGACCAGCTAATTTTCAAAGGAATCCTATGACAAATATGTAATTATGTATACAGTGAGTAGAGCTTTGCATATAGCATTGGCCTGATTAACTCTATTGGGATGAAAAGTGGTAGGGTTGGATAGATCCTGGCAATTGCAATCTCTGTATCCAATAGTGTATAGTAGGTCTGGCTTTGGAGCAGAATATTAGCTAAATTACCAAATGAACAAAGCTCTGTGGGTCAATGCTGACTTTTAATTTTGTATTTATTAATGCTTTCTGAATCCAGATTAATAAAGAAATTATTATTATTTAATGCATTTCTACTTCTTAAACAATTTTTGCCGTCACGTACCCTAGTACATCGTGAATTTATCACTCAATTTAGAGTCTTGTTGTGATTAAGAAATCAATATTTCTGAAGTTTGAGTATTCTTTAATAATAACACATACACATATACCTATATATGTGTGTGTATACTTGTTACATATGGGTGTTTGTTTGTTTGCTTTCCAGAATAGTGACATTTCTGAGGGAATTAGAAGCAGCCTAACTGAATAAATTTTGAGGAATCTGAGTGCAAACCTCTTCATGGGTCTTTCTGAAGTCCCCCTTCCTGGCAGCATGACTCTTGGAGGCCTTTCTCCATGTCTCTGGCTTCTCCAAATGGGTTAGTGGAACACAAAATTTTGGTGGCTTTACCTGTGGAAAAGCTCCCGAGTTCAAAACCTCAGCTTCCCTACTCCCTGGAATACATCTGTGAAATATTAGCTCTATAAAAGAGACATTGCAGAGTCTCTGAGCAAGGAGAAAACAAGATTTTATATCTGTGACCCTCTATTTCAAGCATTTTACTTGCCTGTTCCTGGAATTTATTTCCCATCCATACAGTTTAACAACTTGAGTAGATGCACCCAGATTGGTGGCTAAAATTCAGAATTAAGATGACTGGCTAAATCAAGGATTCAAGTGAAGTGAGAAAACTGTCAGAAGTTGGAAGTAAAGTAAAGCAGAGGAATTTGGTAATAAGGATTGTGCTATGGAAGGAGGGGAAAAGACCCATGCAGATAGCAGAATAGAAGTCTTTCTTTTGTGCATGAAAGAAAGAATCTTTCTTTGACAAGTAAAAGCAGTTTCTTCCCTTGCAACATCTTGATTTGGAAAGAAATCCATGTATTCTTTTGTAGTGTTGTAGGGGTTAGAGATACTGGCATCACATAGTTGAAAGAAATTTGGCTAGTTTATGCAGTAACTGTCTAAAATTCTCCACATTTGTTCTTGTGTGACTGAATACTACTGTTGTTGCTATTCGTACAGAAAATGTGCAATATCATAGCCATACCTGATTAAATCAAGAAAGGCATCTGCTGCTGTCACTTGCACAATTTTGCCTTCTCTGTGCATGTTTTCTTTAGTACCTTTCCCAGGGTGGATGATGACCACAATGATTATACCAATCAGTACAGCAATGATCGTAGTACTCATGTAGTAGACTACTGCTCGGACTCCCATCTTCCCTGATGCTTTACTATCCAGGGCAGCAATTCCTAGTAGATTTAAGCACAAGGACATTCACCTCATACAGTTGTGAGTAAAGAGTATGAACTCAGCATGATGAAAACGGTTTTGTGGGAAGAGTTTTGATGACCAGTACATTTAAAGATACCCAAGCTAAGTTGGCCCTCTTTTGCAGCTCGTACTGCCACCGTCTTCCCATCCCACCCTTAATGCTTGTTATTACATAATTTTCTATTACCAGAGTTACAAGCTGTAACCAAGGGCTTTGTTAACACTTGGCTAAAAGCAAACATTTTTGGTGTGATGCAGTGTGGCACTTCCTCTATTCCAGTGAACTAATTCATGGGTTTTGGTTAGCATAGTTACCATAGTCTGAAAAATGGGCCTTAGAAATGTGCTGCACCTAATCTGTAATAGTAAGAAAGAAAACTGGGTAGTCTCAAGTAACGCTGATAACATTTGCTACAATTATTGTGTATGAAGAGTTTTCTTCAATCCCTAATGGAATGACCTCAGTTTACCTCTGTCCCAAGCCCTGGGAGTTTAAAACAGATTAAATGCTGTTAGCTTGTTTCAGAAAATTCTTATTATTGTATGAATAAGCATTTAGAGTCTTTTATAAACTTTGCGAAACTTGCGACATTAATCCTAATTCTTGGCTCCTCTTAATGCATGAGGTCTAATGTGAATACTAGGGTGCTCACTATGGCATCTGCTGAAGTTATTTGTTCAACAGATTGCACCAACAGGGCTGCGCTGTGTTTTTTTAAATGAAGGTGCAGTTCTGCCAGGGAATGAGCTCTGAATCCTTGAGAAGCAGTGTTTCATGAGGACTGTCAGAAATGGAAATGCTCCTTCTCTTTCCAAGCAGGTGCAGTTAGGTTCTTCTCCTTAAAATGCCTCTTTGCCCCTCCTGAAGATTTCAAGTAGTCCATAACTTCTCCATCCTTCATCTGGAGGGCTACACCAACAGTGTCAAAACAGTACTGATGCTTCTTGTTGGAATCAAGCTTTCAAAGTGCAGAGTGAAGAAAGAGGTCAGGAAAAGATCGCTTTGCTTTATTACCTCCTCCAATAGAACCCTATATGGCACTGTCTAACCCAGACTTCTGCGGACTGCACACATTTATCCAGATGCCGTCTATAAACATATAAAATATCATAAAAGTTGACCACCTTCTACTCTGGGTACCTATCTCAGAGGAGAAAGCATTTAAAATGAAGCAACAGGACTGCATAATATTAAACAATTTGGAAAAATAAAACTAGAATCATGACCTGGCAAAACTAAATGTTTTCTCAAATCACTGTAGATGTATTGTACTTCTGTCTGTCTTCTAAAGGAGATAATATGTGCTACTGGAGTTACAGTTAAAGTACTCTAGTCACTGATGTAACTGAGATCAAGGCTGTGTTCCAGGCTCTGATCAAATCTTCACAGTATAAAACCAATCACATGCTTCATACTTACCCTTTCATTTCAGCTAGCATTTGCCTGTCATTTCAGCATAAGCCGTTAGACTCAGTAAGATTTGTACCCACAAGATGAATTGCAAAGGGAAATCACTAGATTTGCCCCCTGAATTGCTTGATTTACATGTGTCATTGTAGGGGAAGAACAAAGTCTTACTGGCACTGTAAGGAAGTGGAAGTGGGAATCCAATAATTGAACCACTCGATCCTGCATTTCTCTGCTCAGCTTTTCCATCAGTAAAGCTGGATGATAATGCTTGTGGTAAGTTTGCATTTGTATTTATATTTTGAAATTCTGTGAGAAAAATGGTAAATGCTACCAAGTAATAAATAGTGTTCTTATCTTTGCAAACAGGAAGTAAGTCCTATAGCTCCCTTGTGGATGGAGGATCAATCTTTTTTTTAGAGTCCTCAAAATAATGCAAATGCAAAATAATGAAAATATAATTAAAAATGCATAAAAATAAAGTTGATATTTTTTTTGAGAATTTCAGATCTGCTACTGAGTTGCACAATGTTTATATCAGACAGCATTGGTTACAAATTTTATTTTTAAAGTATCAGTATGTAACTTAAAAAGAAGTTTAATTTTAAAAGGGAAAAATGAATGCATGCACACTAGTCCAGTCAATTTTACATATTTTAATTGCTGTTTTATGGTCTCACTTGCTATTTCTAAAGTAGCAGCAATGGGCTGTGTATTTTTTTCATTTTAGCTAAGATCAGCTTTAAACTTGGTTTACATCTTGAGCATGAAAAAGTTCACCTATATAGTTTGACAGGAAGATTTGGAAAGGCACATGTTAAATTAGTCAGTTCCCAGTATCCTGCCCTTGCCAGGTGCTAGATTCAGTGCTGAGCACTGTCTGGAGGGTTCACCCGCATATGTGCTTGCTGCTTTAACCAAGCCTGATCTTCTTTGTACTCCACATTTGGTACTAGGCTGAGTCTCCTGCGCTCCAGAAATCACCAGGAGTCAGTGTGGGCATATTTTAACACTAAAAGATTGTTGTGTTGAAGGATTAGAGTTTGTGATCCTATCCTCTGTTGGATTGATTCTGGGATTGAGTGGTGAACCATGTGCAAGTGATATGTCAGGGAGCAAGAGTCATGCTCTTTTCTTTATAAACGGCTTTCCAGCTTGGTTCCCTATTATGCACTCTGGCTGTGACTACACAGCCCCTTATTTTAGGTTGCTCAGTCTCATTCCT